GTTGTGTGTGTTTTAACATTGTTTTTAACTTGCCCCACCCGAAGCACCTGTGCCTTGCGTACAAAAGGAGATGGGGAGGGGGCTGGAGAGTGAGACGTGGGCCAGAGACGGTGAGGGGAGAGCCCCGTGGTCGCTCACGGGGCCAGGAGAAAGATATTCCTGACAATATCGGCATAGCGGAAAATCGTGCTGATATCGTATCGTGAGGCGTGTATCGCTCACCGTAATGTATCGTGAGGCTCCAGAAGTTCCAGCGCGACTCCCAAAGACAAATTTACAATTGAAATGGAATAGTTTGAACCCTGATCGGAATATGGTTAAACTGAGGTCATACCGGAGCAGACACCGGTGCAGATCCCTCGGTACATGCCCCCCGCCCCCGCCCCCCCACCACCTCCGCTGTGGAGAGGGGCCTCGGCAGTAATGAGCACTGCACTGTTGTGTGTCCACGGGGGCGAGGGACAAACGCCGGCGCTGTGATGTTGCATTAATTGCGCGCAGACTCTTTGGTTTCCACTCCGCGCCGTTAATGAAGACGCGTCACAGCGGTTTGGAGTGCCGCCGCCTTCAGCCCCCGCGCTGCTCCTGCAACACCGTCATTTGGCTTATAAATGAAATAAATGAGTTATCTAGGAGATCTCAAAGATTATCATTATTTTTTCGTCCTCCTTAGTGACAAATGCCATGCTGTGATTGGGTAATGACTTTCTTGTGAGTGGCAGCTGTCCTATGGGGTCGTCCGGAGCGAGCAAAATGGAGAGGGAGTGGAAGGCGCCAATCTGTACGACTTAATGAGGTGCAATTATATCTGTGAAAGTGTGTTGACGTGACCTCTTGGAAACCTCACACACTCTGCGACACGCGTGCATAAATATAAAAATGATTATGTGATTATTTTGGTACCTGGGATGCTGATTAATTGCAACAGATTGCCCTTCTCTTTCAAATGAGTTCAAAATACTTTTCTGTTTGCATATGAAGATTAAGATGGGCACAATTTATTTAGTGAACAATGTTGACGGCTCTGATTTCCTTTTATGTTTCTGATTGCTGCTTTTACCTCGAACCTGTGAGACTTTTGTAGTCTGCCCTGTTGGTCTTGTTTCTTCCGCGGTGAAATGTCCAACGCAGGACCGTGCCATGTCCTATACTGTATGTTTGTTGTTTCTGATTGTCTGCCGGTCGTCATTAGCAACGTCATTTGTTGCACTTAGACTCCGATTTCTCTCTGTACAAAATGCCGTGATGAAAGTTGCAGCTGCAGCGGAGTAAGTGTGTACCTGGAAACAGAACTTTCTCAGATTCAGTCCGATGTGATGAAACTCATTAGATAAATTAAAGCCGGGGTACCTAACTTGAACCATGTGATACAATCCATCTACAAATAGCTCCTCGCTCTCAAAACAGTTTGCTTTTATAATTAGTTTCACATCATGTATTTTGGCCTCTGTCACATCTTTAGATCAGAAAATGAACAAGACCGCTGTGACTCAGCTCTCAGCCCAAAAAGTCATCTACTGACTGAAGTATGCAAACAATAACATTTGTAATTTGATGAAGACAGACTGATTTGTTTACATTTTACTTCACCAAAACTTAAAGGAGCTATACACATTTCTGCAAGGTTTGAATGTTTAGCACCGCCCCCAACTCACTCACAGGCTTCTCATTTCATCATCTGGTTTTACTTGCGATCTATATGCAAACATTAGCATGAGCGCAACTTCTTGTAAGCTGTACAACAATCACTGATGAAATGGTGCAAAAACAACGCACTGCTAACAAAATAAATAACTGAAAGATTACCGCTAGTTCCACGTCCGAATGTGGTCCGAGCGTAGATAGTCTGAGCATAGATAGTCCGAGCGTAGATAGTCTGAGCATAGATAGTCTGAGCATAGATAGTCCGAGCATAGATAGTCCGAGCGTAGATAGTCTGAGCATAGATAGTCTGAGCATAGATAGTCTGAGCATAGATAGTCCGAGGCGGTCCCGCAGGTCTCTTCCATAGACAAGTCTCTCCAGAGGATACGATGTAAGCTAGCTATGTTCACCCGGGCTTGATTTCTTCTTTGAGAATTTTTTTGCTTTAGTTCCCTCTTCTCTTCCTCACTGTTGTGTCGTTTGGGCTGTTTTACCCAAGAAAATTGTGAAAAAACGCATCTGCGCATGCGTCAGCCGGCGAGAGCTCCATTCATTTGAACGAGAGACTTCAAAAATTCACAGCAAGTAAACTAGACTGGACCAAAAAAATTCACCCCCTCAGCATTGACACACATGTGGAACGGAGCTTGGTCCATCCTGTAAAGACATTTTTGAGAGGTCACCTAATGCTATATGTTTGCATTGGCTAATTCTTATTCCGGGTCCACCCCCATCGGCCCGGGGTGGTATTGCAGCATGTCAGCGCACGTCATTTTGGCCACTTTTGGCCGAGACCCGCCCCTACTGGTTTAGCAGCGCTGTAGAGGCCAGAGGACGCAGCCTTGTTCTTTGATTGGAGGAGAGCTGGCGTCACGCGAAGTCTCTACTCAGCACTTTTTACGGCCTGAATTCATACACAGCTGAATCAATGAGCTCAAGTTTTCAATTAAATTACGGATTATAATACAACTTGTACGTAAAAATAAGCATTTTTATGAACTCATAAAAAAAAATTTTGGGTATAGCATCTTTAAGTAAGCTTAAACCCATGAAAGGGTGTCCCTCAATGAACCATTATGTACACCTCCTTGTCCTCTGCATTTGACCCATTCCTCCATGCCAATAAGCCTCCTGTCCTGAGCAGTGAGCAGACAGATCTGAACATCTGGAGGTTGTTCCTGGGGCAGATGTTGAGGTCTTTCTGATGACTGCTCCTGATGCAGCAGGTAACTGCCCTGAGTTTTTTCCCCCTGATACATGTTTTGAGTCGGTGGGTCAAACCTCAGTCCTCGGAGGAAGCACAACCAGACACAGGAAATAAAGACTAACTCCACAAAGAAAGGATCAAACAATTTTTTTTATTTAAGAAATAACAGGAAACGTGATCAGTGGAGGTCAAAGCAAGATGAGGAAAACCATGAATAATATCAGATTTACAATTTATCAGAAAATCATAGAATACACCAGGTAGATTTGGTAGACTCTGGAGTTGTGGCACAAGCAAGCCAGATGCATTATGGGAACAACCTTTAGAGCAATAATCAAGATCAGAATGAGGGTGGATCCATCATGCTTTGGGGTTGTGTTGCAGTCAGTGGTAGATGGGACATTTCACAAGTGAAGTATTCTGAGTAAAAACCTTCCTCATCTGTCAGGAAGCTGAAGGTAAAAAAATGAGGATGATCCAGATTCAATGACATCAGGGGGTATGACTGTGTTCACCACAAATGAACAGTGCATGCAAGACAGCCCAGCAATCTCCCAGAACTATGAAAAGTGTGCAAAAAACAGAAGAGGAATGTGCAAAAATTCCCTCAAACTTGAATTGGCTGCGTGCGAAAAGCAAGAGCAGGATAAATGTGGTGCTTACCAAAGGGAAGCTATAGAATCTACGGCACATCCAAATGTTTGCTCTGATTTTTTAAAAGACTTTTATATTAAATAAACTGCATTTTTGTATTCAGCATTTTATATAGCATTTTTTCCCTTTCCCTAAATGTTCACAAAACCTTAGCACCTCACTGCATATCAAATTGGCCCAGTTCATGATTTAGGACTGGCCTACACCTATATTGTGTTCTTAAAGCTGATACGCAAAGCCATTAGAGAAAACAAAAAGAGAACAGAAGTGCTTCCTTTTGTCCTTAGGCATCCCAACTTCCATTCTGCAGCTGAATGAGTCCTGGAGCGAGGACGATCGAGCCCGGGTCTCTCCTGCTTCGTTCATCGAAAGCATTCCGCTCTCTTTGTCTTTCTCTCTTGTCTCCTGCTTTCATTGTCTTCGACGTCTTTTTTAGATAATCTCATTTCGACTTCCCTCTTGATTGTGCCCCCCCCCCCTCCTCTCTGTGGAGCCCCGTTCCGCTCTGCGCTGGTCTGCTCTCCTAAATGCACTGCGTATTGATGTTTTCCCTCTCCTCTATGGCCCCTGTGATGCGCTCTCTCCTTTTAGCTCTCCTCTTTGTCTCTCACCTTTCATTTCTCAAAGGTTCTCTGTAGTGTGCACTCCCCAGGTAGACTGCCTCTCATGTACAAGCACATATAGGAAAACTGGAGGCTTTCTTTTCAGAACACAGGTATTCTGCGGCTACTGTTGATGGTCACCACTGCATGTCAATGCCCACCATTCTTTTCTTTTCTGTAGAAAATGGTCCTTCCAGGTCTAGTCTGAATAGATTAGGTGTAATTATAGTATACCATAACCTTACAAGTACACTGTAGAACCGTAATGTGTGCAGTATCTTTTCAGTTCAAAACTAAATGTGTGGTTTTATTTCATGTTTAGTTTGTGTTACTGGTTTCAGTGCCATTTAGTGACTTTCAGTTGTTTTATCACTTTTTGACTGTATTGATTACTGTCACAAGTAGTGAATACAAACCTTTATCTCTGGATGCTTGTCACTTTTCCTATGGCTCTTAAAACTTGACAGGTCAGATACGGAGAAGAAGTTTTTCTTTCACAGAAACAGTTTGTCTTCATTTTGTACAATTTCTACTAATACCAAAATAAATATTCCCTGTAGGAAGTGGCACTTGGTGAAAAGGGTTTTGTTTTAGTTTTTTTGGCCCTGCAGAGAAAACGCATTTCATTTGCAGGAGGGGATTCAAATGGAGATTATGGAAGGGTCTGATTAGACCCTGGTGGGGCTGGGTCTCTGTTGAGTTTGTGATCAGGAGGAGGAAGGTTGTGGCTCAAGCTGAAACTGTGAAGATGAAGCGCTGTCAGATAAGTGAAGGCTGGTGAGGCCACAGGGGAATCGGGTTTACCAGGCTTCGCTTTGGCTCCAGCTCCATCAATGTGATGATTTACCAGCCAAGCAGATATCATTTCAATGTGTTCCTGTTTAGATCTGTGCCTAATGCCAGCGCCCCACTGGGTCAAACACTGGGTCAAACACCGGGTCAAACACTGGGTCAAACACTGGGTCAAACACTGGGTCAAACACTGGGTCAAACACCGGCTCAAACACTGGGTCAAACACTGGGTCAAACACTGGGTCAAACACTGGGTCAAACACTGGGTCAAACACTGGGTCAAACACCGGGTCAAACACCGGGTTAAACACCGGGTCAAACACTGGGTCAAACACTGGGTCAAACACTGGGTCAAACACTGGGTCAAACACCGGGTCAAACACCGGGTCAAACACCGGGTCAAACACCGGGTCAAACACCGGGTCAAACACCGGGTCAAACACTGGGTCAAACACCGGGTCAAACACCGGGTCAAAAACACCGGGTCAAAAACACCGGGTCAAACACTGTGTCAAACACCGGGTCAAACACTGGGTCAAACACTGGGTCAAACACTGGGTCAAACACCGGGTCAAAAACACTGGGTCAAACACTGGGTCAAACACTGGGTCAAACTAGTTACAAGTCTGCCATAGTGTGGAAAAGTGCTTGGGCAGTTGTTAATGATAATTAAACTTTGTCCAACTGAATAAAGAGTAGGTTAGTCATAGGAAGAATGCACACATCTGTAATTAATAATAATGAATTGATAATATATTTATTTAATTAATGTATACAAAAGATACATGATTGTAGAGTGTACTTGTGTATACTAAGGCACAGGATCAAGTACAATACAAACTGATCAGTGAAAAAAGATTGTTAATTGTGTCTTTTCTTGAAGGATAAGCTGCTATTGTCACTGACCTGTGTGAGGCTGATTACTTCCGGTGAATGTCGGCTGCTTATGTTGAAACTCCACAGAAGCAGCATGTGGAACGCAGCCTCTTACTGCGGCCATTCTGCTCTCAAAAAGGAGCGGTCAATTGAACATGGAGGAGATTGTACCAATACCAAGAATAAAACTCAGATTACCATGCTCCTAAACGAGCCACTCAAATTACTTTCATTCATCGGCCCAAATTAGTTTTTAGTACGAGTTTTTTTATTTATGTATTGTTGTTTCCTAGAGCTCATTGTGCAGGAACATGTCCATACTCATGTCAAGCTGCATGTTACATTCAAGCAGAAAACCAACAGGCTGCGTCCAGCTGAGTCCTGCTGCACCGCGCTCACTCTACACTCGCCTGTTTCTGAGCAGAGCGGGTATTTAGGGAGCCGTAGGAAGAGGACGGGACTTGCTGAAAACCGAGAAGGATTGTGTGGAGCAGAAGCCGTAAAGAGTGTGAGTCTGGTTTCTACGCGTTTAGAGCTTTGGCACCGGACAAGGCCACAACGGCTGAGGTTTCCCAAGAATCGATGCGTTTGTGTGTGTGTGTTTGTGTGTGTGTGTGTGTGTGTGTGTGTGTGTGTGTGTATCTGCGATGGTGGGGCGGAGGTGAAATGGACCCACGGTGTTTTCCTGGCAGATGATGGACAGCTTAACGTGAGGCCAGTAAAAACAACCGGGCCAAATGTTCCATGTGCCAGAGGACGGAGGGAGGTCACTCTCTCATTGGTTCAAATAGAAGATAATATCAAAGCAGGTTTTCACTGAAGATGCAGAGTAACTGTAGGTCTGGACCATTGACTGTAAATATTCTTCCCGCAGGAAGATGTGAAAAAAACGCATTTGGCATGCTTTAGCCTGCACTAGTCCTATTCGTACCTTCGGAAGTTAACACAGACTGGTGGCCTCGCTTCTGTCAGTGTGCCCCAGGGCAGCTGTGGCTACAGTAGTAGTTAACACCAACCAAACCAAAAAGCGCTGAATAAAACTGATGCTTTATTACAATCATCACTTTCACATTTTCCCCGATGGTCGTTACTTGGAGTAAGAGAATGTATTTAGAAAACACGTCATGTGAAAGTGACGGATGGGGTTTAGGAACACGCTCCAACATGAGAGAGAAGTAAAAAACATGTATTTTAATATTTATTACCGTGCAGAGTCACTTTTTACTTCTGCCACGTTATAATCCCGTAACTCTGGGCACTTGTTTTATCACATATTTTGTGTATTTATTTATATATTGGAATATTTCTAAACTTTTTCTGCACTTTTTGACTATTTTACTGCTTCTGTGATCTGACAGATGGGTCACTCTTCTCTTTACAGTAGAAAACTACAAAACATCAACATGAACTCACAAATCCTAAATTGTGAAGACTCCCTGACTCAATAATAAAATAATAGATTGTTGTGTTGTGTGTTTGTGTGTGTCATAAGTTTGGTTGTCTCAGTCGAGGGCACATATGGGATTTGTGTTGCTTCTTGTACAACAGTGGTTTTGTGTGTTGTGTCGTGCTGGGATGTGGAGAGTGATCGTGTGACTTCTCTGGAGTAATGACATGATGAATCTTTGTGGATTTTAAAGGAAATGTGTGTAAATCTGCTTTCATAATCTCTCATCGACATGACGCTGATGCCTGGTGACTGTGACACTGAGTGTGTTTGGATTCATACATGTTTAAATAAATCTCCATTGTCTCGCACTCGGGGCCATCGTGGCCTCGCCTCGAGCCTGATTTCATTTTTAACAACACAAATCCTGTCAGTTCTGTTTTTCACTGAAAGACTTGTTTCTAACATTCAGCAACTCAATATTAATGAACATAAACACTGTAGATTTAACTAAGGCCCTGGAACCCATTCCTAAAAGACCATTTACATGTATCGCTTTAAGTTTGTAATGCTATTAATTATTCATTTATATTTACTTAAATTATTGAATTATGTTTTGAAACAAGTCACAGCTAGTGTACAACTTTAAAAAAGTGTTGTATTTATTATGTAATTCTGCAATAAAATGTGTAATTGTCCTGAGCAAAATACATTTGATAATTGTGGCTCTCTCTAAAACCTTCATGGTTAAAGTGTGACTCCAGCGAGCTCCAGCTGATCCACCGGGAAAAGTCTGCTGTAAATGAACCAACTTCACACTTTCACACACACACACTTATACAATCAGACACACACACACTTACACACACTCTCTCACGCACACTTCTCAGTTGTGCTTTAATGTTTGTTCATATTTTGGACAGCCTCAATGATAAAAAACCTTTTTTCCGACTAAACATGCATCTTCTTCAAATTATGACATCACTGAGCCACTCTGGGGAGATCTAGAATGTTTGTGCAAGACAGCCCGGGAGTTTACAGGAACTGGAGGCTTCTTGCGAAGAAGAATGTGCAGCTTCACCATCAGAGAGGATACAGAACCACAAAAGACGCCAAGCTGTTAGAGGTTAAAAGGAAACAACTGGGGGATGGAGACTTCTGATCAAGGCCAGGAGGGAGTTTGTCAATTTAATTTAAAACACTTTTATTTGGCAATAAACCGCTTCACACGACCACTAACAATAGTTTTCATTCATAAACTCTATTATATGTGTGACAACAGAGCACTTATTTAACCAGTACAGCACTCTCAGAACCATTTCCCACGTGTGTGTATGTGTAATCAGTGTTCCACTGGAGCAGGGGGCGGAGCCTGCAGTGCTGTCAGCTGCTTTTAGTAAAGTTGTTGTGTCGTAATAATAAAACTGGCGATGTAAGTCACAGAGATATCACAATTCAGACTCCTCCCAGGAGTGAATGAATTTATTTACTCATGTTCCTTTACACAACCATTTTGTTTGAATACACAAAAACATGTGCACTTATACAATGTGAGCACAGAAGAGAGAGGCAGGACAGATTCAGGCTTGTATCCTTCTACACGGTTTATCGGCTCATGTCCTGCACATGACTTACATGTATGAGCTGAGGTTCAAACATTCTTCTGTTGTTGAGGTCAATGGATTTCAAAACACTGAGTTTTAAGCTGAACATTGCTCCAACGTTCAGCGGTGAGTCACGGCAAATGACGGTAACATCTTTAGCATCAATCACGAGCGGTGAGTGTGACGCGGCCTCTCTTCACCGTCTTTGACAGAACAAATGTGTTTGAATACCTCCCGGCTTCCATCCATACCACTCTCCCTGTGTCGTCATGAGGAGCTGCCACTCAAGCCGGACGAGCTCAGCGTACTGCAACATGCAGAGGCCAGGCCCGGTATTGCACCTAACCTTCCACTATGTTTTGGTTCAAATGTAAAAACAACTACTGTATATTATTATCAACAAATATTTGATCTGTAAATGAATAGAGGAATATGAAGCGTAGAGATACAGATTGTGTGTGTGTGTTTGTGACGTTGAAACCCGTGCATGAACATGTGCTACACTGTGGGATGGAGCAGAGGAAATTTAGCTTATGAATTGAGGCCCATGCATTATGCATATTAAGAGGCCAAAGGGAGCGACAGACAGAGAGGAGACATGTTGTCATCACTAAAGGAGAGCAATGGGGAGATGGACAAAGGAGATGTCCCAAGGGACGATGCACTCCTTCTGCATGGCTGCGTATCTGTCACCATGGAAACAGCCTGTATATATGTGGACCAACAGTGAGCTGCGCTAGAGCAAAATACAGTGTATGTAGGTGCAGCAGGTGCCCTCCCACTGCGCCCCTCTGATCACATTCCTCCTCATTGTGCTGAGACAGAAGGCCTGGACTAGATCTTATCCTCACAGCACAGCCGGCCTGATGCTGTGATTGATGAGAGATGGAGTGATGAGAGCTTGATGAGATGAAAAAGTGAAGAGGCTTCGGTGCATGACAACACACACAGGCACTGAGATGAAACCCATGACTAAGGATTGCACACACCACTCCTATTATGCAAAAACACACACACACACACACACACACACCTCGGCTGAAGATGAAGGAGCGATTATAGATAAAACGTTCTCTTTGAGCCAATGGAAACGTGACCCGAAAGCAGAGGCTGCCAGAACCTTCTAGGCTCACTGTATAGACAAGAAGGAAGTAAATGTACAGACACCGGCTGTTGGCAAACTACGGACCACTACACGCTCCAATACAGCTCAGTAATTGGTCCTGTTTGAAACTGACACCCATATTCATAATCCAACTATTTCACAAATAGCACTTTTGGAAATAGCTGCTTGACTCAATGGGGAAGTCTTTTGGTAGGAATCTAACAATGTAGAATTTGTGGTACAGTAAGTTGTTCAAGACATTAATCTTTTCAAAATAATGTAAACTGAGACATTTATGTGCTCTGTTTGAATGTCGTCATCGATGAAGCCGTGTCGTGGTGAACCCTCAGACTCAGAGCGCTCAGAGGACTGTGACATGTGAACAGTGAACGTGCACACGTTGCCAGCAGCTCGCTGGGCAGAGAGCAGCTGCTCACACACTTGACTTTGCTCCTCTCACACCTATAGCGCACTTGCACTGACGCAAACGCAAACTGCTTAAGGAGCCTAATCCTCCTCAGTCCTTGCACACTGGCTGACAAAAGGACAAAATATAATCTGGCTTTCCTCCTCCTGCCCAGCCTGATTGCTGCTGTTTGATGTATTGGAGGCTTAATAGTGGCATTGATTTTGTCCTGTGCGCTCTCATTGGGCCCTGCTTTCTCAGGATGGGTGTCAGAAGATGGATCATCTCACACAGGCATCACATAAGTGCTCGGCTGTGGGACCGCTGCAAAACAAGGAGATTTCTGACTCTGTAACTACAGCATAAATTCATGCTTGACTGATGGCTTTTTGAGTTGAACAATATGACAATTATGCTGTATACTTTCGTCGAGGAAACCTTGTGGTGCATTCATAATAACAAATAGTGAAAATTGGGTCCAAATTACCCAAGAAAATCTGAGTGCTTTTGACACTGTCGACCATGAGATCCTCTTACAGAGACTAGAGGACTGGGTTGGCGTCGCTGGCACCGCCCTAAGTTGGTTTAGGTCTTACCTTGAAGACAGGAAGTACTTTGTGGAGATTGGAAACTGTGTCTCAGATCATATGGCCCTGACCTGTGGAGTCCCACAGGGGTCGATCCTGGGACCTCTTCTGTTCAATCTCTACATGCTGCCGTTAGGTCAGTTAATACGCAGTAACAACGTGTCCGATCACAACTATGCAGACGACACTCAGATCTATGTCTCACTGACTGCAGGAGAACATGGACCAGTGGACTCACTCCTTCACTGTATCCAACAGATCAGTGAGTGGATGCAAAACAACTTCCTTCAGCTAAACACAGACAAAACTGAAATGATTGTCTTTGGTCTCCAGAAACAAAGAGAGAAAATCCTCTGTCACTTCCAAGTCCCTCTCCCCAAACCCTTCAAATTAAAGCTGCACTAACTGACTTTATTTTTGTATTCATTACAGAAATGCAATCCATATCCATGCAGTGCATTGGGAAATATACGTCCTTTTTAAGAAAAAGTAGCGCATATTTGTGCTGGCGTGTCATTTAATTATAGATCGAGTTTTCGTGCAACAAGGAAGAGAATGTGTTTCGGGTCCAGATTGTGACCAATCACAGCGGACCACTGGCCCCCACTTTCTTGAGAAAACCTACAGGTCTCTTGTTAGCACAGACAGCTGAGGTAAGCAAGCGGCGGAGGCTAACCTGAAACTTCCCGTGTCTTCGTTACCGGTTACTGCTTACTCAGAGAAACAGCCAAAAGAAAGTCTCTTCCTCTCCGCGCTTCCCGGTTCTATCATTCTATGGTCACGCCATTCAAGCCCGAATGTGCAATCCATATTGTGAGACCTGAGCTCTGTATACAATTAGCAAGTGAGCGCAGGCTGAGGGGGAAGGGGGTAGTGGGGGGCGAAAAGCTCCGTGCGGGGAGGGCGAGCAGAGAGAGCGAGCTCACCGCTCACATTCGAACATTTCTCAAAGTCAGTTAGTGCAGCTTTAAATCAGAAATCTTGGGGTGATACTGGACTATACTATTAAATTATAATAATAACATCAATAGCTTTTACCATCTAAAAACATTGTCAAGATAAAAAATATATAACCTGGCAAGAGCCAGATTGATGATTGTGTAGAACTCTAATGCGTTCTCCACAATATCAATCTGGGACTTCTGCAGGAGAATCCTTTCGGGGAAAGGAGGGATAAGCAGCCGAATACTTCAAGCTGATTGGGCGAAGTGACGCTGTGTGCCCGCCTACCAAAGACGGCAATTCTATTGCCGTCCAGAAATGCACAAAGCGCCTCTCGCTGTTCATCTTTCAAAAAAGAAATTGGAGATTCTGCTAAAACTGACTTGATAACCTCAGCTACGCGTCCGTCCTCCTGCGCAGCCATGTTTGTTTTGCTTCGGCCCGGCACTTCTTGCTTTCGTCAAACCCGGATATCCCGCCCTAAACCCCCAGACTGGCGCGTGATTGGCTTGAACACCTAGATGTTCTACTCGAAAAGGGTTGGCGGGAGCGGGGCAAGATGTATTTTCGAGTGTTTGTGAACTCACAAATACCGCGAGAATTCAGCTTGCAGGCAAGGTTAAAAAATATATTGTCTAAAGCAGACTTGGAGATTCTTTTCCATGCATTTGTCTCCAGTAGGTTTGGCCCCGTTCAGACGGAGACGCTGCCGAGACGCTGCCGAGACGCTGCCGAGACGCTGCAAAGCAATTAGCAAAAACGGCCAGAGGACAGAAGTCTTTAGCTGTCAGTGGGACTTGCTTGTCTGCGAGGGGGTCCTAGCTCCAGTACTGGAGGGTGTTGGGGGGATTGCGGTGTCTTCTGCAGTGTTGTTTAGGGCTGAAACAACTAATCGATTAATCAACGACTAATCGATTATTGAAATAGTCGACAACTATTTTAGTAATCGATTAATCGATCGTTTTCTGGTTCACACGGGCTCAAACAGAGCAAAAATGACATGAAAATGTAGTATTTTTGATTAAAACCGACTTTGTTATTATAATTTCATGAATATCTGTCTGACTCATCCAATCAGAGCAGAATTAGCACAAAGAGCCTGTTACAAACATTTACTTTAAGTTTACGCCATCAATACGTCCTCGAGTGTTGCCACTTTAGCTTTTTGTGATGAAAAAATATTTTATTTCTACACAATTCACAGTCAAGCGATTACTCAATTAATCGTAAAAATAATCGATAGATTAATCGATTACAAAATAATCGTTAGTTGCAGCTCTAGTGTCGTTGACAGCATGTCAGGAGGTAAACTCATACAAGAGCAGAGCCTGTGGCGTGTGTGTGGAGTCCAGTGAAGGCTTGTTTTATCTAAATATACTGTCCATATCTGCACCGGCTGTCGCTGGGGTGACTCGGCCGCGTTGCCAGTCACTCGTCATTGCCGGATCGTTCTCTCCTTCTCACACATCCACATATAAATTCCAGATCCTATCATGAACATCAGAGACGCAGATCCGGTGTCTGTGCTCCTGTTGCTGTGTCCACTAAGTCTTTACAGCATGTCTGACCTCTCTGGACTGACAGGACGCCACAGCTCTTCCCCACTTTAACAAATATCATATCACTGGATCCAGTCACTACCAGCAGCAGGTACAGCAGAGCGTCCAAGAGCCAGGAGTCACTAATCATTTTTCCAGAACGTTTGTCTGAACTGATGGAGTAGTCTCTGTGCAGTACTCTCTGTGCAGTACTCTCTGTGCAGTAGTCTCTGTGCAGTAGTCTCTGCAGTACTCTCTGTGCAGTACTCTCTGTGCAGTAGTCTCTGTGCAGTACTCTCTGTGCAGTAGTCTCTGTGCAGTAGTCTCTGTACAGTAGTCTCTGTACAGTAGTCTCTGTGCAGTACTCTCTGTGCAGTACTCTCTGTGCAGTAGTCTCTGTGCAGTAGTCTCTGTACAGTAGTCTCTGTGCAGTACTCTCTGTGCAGTACTCTCTGTGCAGTACTCTCTGTGCAGTAGTCTCTGTGCAGTAGTCTCTGTACAGTAGTCTCTGTGCAGTACTCTCTGTGCAGTACTCTCTGTGCAGTACTCTCTGCAGTAGTCTCTGTGCAGTAGTCTCTGTGCAGTAGTCTCTGTGCAGTAGTCTCTGTGCAGTACTCTCTGTGCAGTAGTCTCTGTACAGTAGTCTCTGTGCAGTACTCTCTGTGCAGTAGTCTCTGTACAGTAGTCTCTGTGCAGTACTCTCTGTACAGTAGTCTCTCTGCAGTACTCTCTGTGCAGTAGTCTCTCTGCAGTAGTCTCTGTACAGTAGTCTCTGTGCAGTACTTTCTGTGCAGTACTCTCTGTGCAGTAGTCTCTGTACAGTAGTCTCTGTACAGTAGTCTCTGTGCAGTAGTCTCTGTGCAGTAGTCTCTGTGCAGTACTCTCTGTGCAGTAGTCTCTGTGCAGTAGTCTCTGTGCAGTACTCTCTGTGCAGTAGTCTCTGTGCAGTACTCTCTGTGCAGTAGTCTCTGTACAGTAGTCTCTGTGCAGTAGTCTCTGTACAGTAGTCTCTGAACAGTACTCTCTGTGCAGTAGTCTCTGTGAAGTACTCTCTGTGCAGTAGTCTCTGTGAAGTACTCTCTGTGCAGTAGTCTCTGTACAGTAGTCTCTGTGCAGTACTCTGTGCAGGAGTCTCTGTGCAGTACTCTCTGTGCAGTAGTCTCTGTGCAGTACTTTCTGTGCAGTACTCTCTGTGCAGTAGTCTCTGTACAGTAGTCTCTGTACAGTAGTCTCTGTGCAGTAGTCTCTGTGCAGTAGTCTCTGTGCAGTAGTCTCTGTGCAGTAGTCTCTGTGCAGTAGTCTCTGTACAGTAGTCTCTGAACAGTACTCTCTGTGCAATAGTCTCTGTGAAGTACTCTCTGTGCAGTAGTCTCTGTACAGTAGTCTCTGTGCAGTACTCTGTGCAGTAGTCTCTGTGCAATAGTCTCTGTGCAGTAGTCTCTGTGCAGTAGTCTCTGAACAGTACTCTCTGTGCAGTAGTCTCTGTGAAGTACTCTCTGTGCAGTAGTCTCTGTACAGTAGTCTCTGTGCAGTAGTCTCTGTACAGTAGTCTCTGTGCAGTAGTCTCTGTGCGGTGGTCTCTGCAGTAGTCTCTCTGCAGTACTCTCTGTGCAGTAGTCTCTGTGTAGTAGTCTCTGTGCGGTGGTCTCTGTGCAGTAGTCTCTCTGCAGTAGTCTCTGTGCAGTACTCTCTGTGCAGTAGTCTCTGTACAGTAGTCTCTGTGCAGTAGTCTCTGTACAGTACTCTCTGTGCAGTAGTCTCTGTACAGTAGTCTCTGTGCAGTACTCTCTGTGCAGTACTCTCTGTGCAGTAGTCTCTGTGCAGTAGTCTCTGTACAGTAGTCTCTGTGCAGTACTCTCTGTGCAGTACTCTCTGTGCAGTAGTCTCTGTGCAGTAGTCTCTGTACAGTACTCTCTGTGCAGTAGTCTCTGTACAGTAGTCTCTGTGCAGTACTCTCTGTGCAGTAGTCTCTGTACAGTAGTCTCTGTGCAGTAGTCTCTGTGCAGTACTCTCTGTGCAGTAGTCTCTGTGCAGTAGTCTCTGTGCAGTACTCTCTGTGCAGTAGTCTCTGTGCAGTACTCTCTGTGCAGTAGTCTCTGTGCAGTACTCTCTGTGCAGTAGTCTCTGTGTGGTGGTCGCTGTGCAGTAGTCTCTGTGCAGTACTCTCTGTGCAGTAGTCTCTGTGTGGTGGTCGCTGTACAGTAGTCTCTGTGCGGTAGTCTCTGTGCAGTACTCTCTGTGCAGTAGTCTCTGTGCAGTACTCTCTGTGCAGTAGTCTCTGTGCAGTACTCTCTGTGCAGTAGTCTCTGTGCAGTACTCTCTGTGCAGTACTCTCTGTGTGGTGGTCTCTGCAGTAGTCTCTGTACAATAATATACATTTATATATGGAAGATGAACTTGTTCAGGAACCAGATCTGGCCTCAGGCTTCCATGTGCCTGTTGTCGGCCATTGTGGCTGTTTGGATGAATAATAGAAGCTTGTGAAAGCATGTATAACACATTCAACTGCACTTTTTAGGAATTCTATTCTTGTTTAGATCAGGAACATCTTGTTTCCCCGTCTCTAAAACATCTCGTTTCATTCCTGCCTTGGATGATCTCGCACTATCGCTTTTGTATGCGCTATCGTCTTTCTCTGTGAATTGTTTAGCGACGTGCTTTTCTGTCTTTAGTTTTTGTCTATTGAGAACACAGTGTAGTGTAGCCTGGACTCCCTAGTGTGGGTTTTAACTGCAAATGGCTGAATCTGATCTTCTTTGTCTCCTCATGCAAGAAGATACTGTCGTGAAGAGGATGTCTGTTAGAATGTTGTAATGTGGAAATGGAAGAGGACATGGACATTGGTTCCATATTGGCAAGAATGCCTGATGATTTATGTAAGCGGACCATCTGTTCCCTCAGAATACGTTGTCCAGAGTGAGCCTGACTCACTGCTCCTTGTGCTTCTTCTGTGTCACACTGGGCTCAGATGGATAAGAGTGGAGCTCAGATGAACGATGGATGAGGTGGTGTGGAGCAGGCTGCTGATCTGCTTACTCTGCTCTGAGTGACCTGAATACACCCCAGCACAGACGCACATGCAGCTGACAGCCATTCATTCAGTGTGTGACAAGCTGGGGCCATGTCTAAATGGAGAGCACACGCCCCTAACCACAAGGCCTTCTCACTTTTTACTGTTGGAACTGCCGGCTACATTTATCTTCCTGATTCAAACAATAAAACCAGATCTTGTCCTGCCTCATATTTAGTCCTGATTTAGCTCCAATAAAAGAAAGACACACCTTTTCAGCACACCTCGCCCCCGACACAAATCACCTTCAGCATGTTTGCTCTGCGGCTGTGAAAGCCCTCGAACATTAACCCTGAAACAACCCCCAGCTCCAATTGTGCCCTATCTCCTGCAGCATTCTGGGTAAAGTAGTTTAACAATGTCAACCAGATAAGCCCAACGCAAACCTGTCGATAAGGAGTAAAGGCTGCACTTAATGTCTGTGTGTTTTCAAGGCGTTAACTGATTGAAAAGCCGACAGAGAAGACGTGAAGAGTCCAGTGTGAGGCTCTGGTCAGACAGGCAGGCGCGCACTTTCATATCTGCAATAACATGCTAACTCCAAACAGACAGCTGCTCTCAGATAGAAAATAAACATGCATGTATGAGACAAAGAACTGGACTTAAACACGTTTCACACTCCTGTCAAGGACCATTAACTAAGTTATTCAGAAGCAAAGGGTATGCAACTTTTCCTGTATTGACTTGTACAGCTGCAGAGATAAGACTGAACGCTGGAGACATGAACAAGTACAAACAACTTACAATCAACGGCTGCAGATAACTCTTTATGGAGATTGAAGCTGTTCGTGCTGCAGTCTGACAGTAGTTTGTGGGCAAAGGTGAAGAGTGGAGACGACCATGGACTACACAGGAAGTGGCCCAGGACTCTCTGGGACTAGAGTCTGGATTACATCTCACTTTGGTTCTTTATGGATCCTAGTTCAGACGTGTTTGTTGACTACGTGTTCTGACATACTTCTCGTGCCCTTTTGGTTTTTCTTTCTTGCTCTTACTATTAACAAATGATCATTGAAGAACAACAGGCAGTGTTCAAAGTAATAAAAGAAAAATGATAAAAACAGGACACGACAAGAGACTTGTGTAAAAATCTTTTTATAACGCAATAAAAAGCAACAAATAAAATTAAAGCAATAACTTTAAAATGAAAAATAATTCTTTTATACAACAGGAGAATGATTCCATCAGAATGAAATGGTAATAATATAAAGTGTATTTTAGTTTACAAAGCGGTTCCCATGGGTCTCACACATGTTGCAGTGATGTTGTAATGAAGGATACACATGAATCCAGTGTTTCATTCACGTAAGTTCAGTTTGAACAGAAATCAATTAAAGACCCATTAAGTAACAAGTTCCATTTCATTTCACATTAGCTTCACCTTAAAGCTTTGCAGTGTAAAAGCATTTGTATTTACACAGTCAAAAGAAAAGGCATCAATGTTCTCCACTGTACCTCGGCTCCCCTGCACAGGTACCTGTACCTCCTCTCCCCTGCACAGGTACCTGTACCTCCTCTATGCTGCACAGGTACCTGTACCTCCTCTATGCTGCACAGGTACCTGTACCTCCTCTATGCTGCACAGGTACCTGTACCTCCTCTCCCCTGCACAGGTACCTGTACCTCCTCTATGCTGCACAGGTACCTGTACCTCCTCTCCCCTGCACAGGTACCTGTACCTCCTCTATGCTGCACAGGTACCTGTACCTCCTCTATGCTGCACAGGTACCTGTACCTCCTCTCCCCTGCACAGGTACCTGTACCTCCTCTATGCTGCACAGGTACCTGTACCTCCTCTATGCTGCACAGGTACCTGTACCTCCTCTCCCCTGCACAGGTACCTGTACCTCCGCTCCCCTGCACAGGTACCTGTACCTCCTCTCCCCTGCACAGGTACCTGTACCTCCTCTCCCCTGCACAGGTACCTGTACCTCCTCTATGCTGCACAGGTACCTGTACCTCCTCTATGCTGCACAGGTACCTGTACCTCCTCTATGCTGCACAGGTACCTGTACCTCCTCTCCCCTGCACAGGTACCTGTACCTCCTCTATGCTGCACAGGTACCTGTACCTCCTCTCCCCTGCACAGGTACCTGTACCTCCTCTCCCCTGCACAGGTACCTGTACCTCCTCTATGCTGCACAGGTGCCTGTACCTCCTCTATGCTGCACAGGTACCTGTACCTCCTCTATGCTGCACAGGTACCTGTACCTCCTCTATGCTGCACAGGTACCTGTACCTCCTCTATGCTGCACAGGTACCTGTACCTCCCTCTCCCCTGCACAGGTACCTGTACCTCCTCTCCCCTGCACAGGTACCTGTACCTCCTCTCCCCTGCACAGGTACCTGTACCTCCTCTATGCTGCACAGGTACCTGTACCTCCTCTATGCTGCACAGGTACCTGTACCTCCTCTATGCTGCACAGGTACCTGTACCTCCTCTCCCCTGCACAGGTACCTGTACCTCCTCTATGCTGTACCTCTTGTCACAGGTTTGCATTCAATATCACAGAAAAACAGAAAACATTTTTGGCAAAAATAGGAATAAAAGTGACATAATTTGAGATTTGATCCTCATTTCCTCTAACACTGTCCCGTTGATTGTCCTTCACACTCACTCACGTGATCATCCTTGTTGCCGTAGAGATCTCAAGTGCATCAGCTGGGCTGTCATGGCAACGGTGGATGGACACAAGCCGATGAAAGATTGGATGTCTTTCTCGGATTGCAGGATCCCGGACTTAAATCTGATTGAATTTTGTGTTTCTAATGTTTCAAAAGGTAAACTCAGGTGCTTTGGTTTGGTTCACTTTGAGGCCAGATAAATATCTACATTCTAAACACATTCAATATTACAGAAGCTGAATCGCTGACTATAGAAACTCGGTTTCTTTTCCAGTAAGTAAAAAGCAAAGATAAATTACATTCTGAATCAAGAGTTAAATACATTTGGACACCCCAAAACCATGTATACATTAATGCCAAAAGAAGGGCCATGATCAAGTTTCAGGTTTGAGTTCAAACCTCACTTCCTGTTCAGTGCATTTAAAGTTCACACAGCACCCTCCACTTTCTCTTCAACCAATGGACAAATATATAATATGTGTCATTTACAATGTTTATACAATATACTGTACAAAAACGCACTTAGTACTCACTCAGTCAAAAACATCCGACTTGCTTACATGTGTCATTGCTCCTGGAGCAGGAGACGACAGAGGTATTGGCGTGTATGGCTTGACAATATAAAACAACAAACAAAACTAGTAAGACATTTGAACAAGAACTGGACAGAAACTCATTTTAGTTAGAGACTTGTGTTGTGTCTCAAGGCCTCACACACACACACACACATACACACGCACACTAACACACTGTCTTTTTGGTCCTGTTGAAATCTCAAGTGGAGACCGCCTTAAGAACAGTAAGATCCTCCCTTTGTCTCCCTTCCCCCAGTCTTTGAGGCCGTGGAGGCCCCTGAGCAGCGGCCAGCTAACCAGTCCAAAGTGCTCATGTCCTTGGTTCCTGTTCTATTGTCATATTCATCTCGTCACAGTGACAAGACGTTCTTTATTTCCGACTCTTGGAGACTCAGTGGAACAAACTGGCTTCATCCACATGTAGCAAAGTGCTGGACGCAGTCATACGGCGCTGGGTTCAGTCTGTCCATCGAGGACAGAACACAGACGTTAAGGCTATTGTGCTTCCATTTTTGACCTTTTGTGTCAAATGTTTCTGTAAGTTGACTTTTTCCAAGTCAAAGTCTGGACTTTCGAACAGAAATTTGGGGCTAGGACACAATGGGGACTCCATCCACTCCGACAAGCTGACCAGTGGTGGGCTCATAGGTCCCGGCCAGGTAGAATAAGTCATTGGTGCCAGGTTTGTGGTCTTGTAGGAGGTGGTCATACTCTGCTCGGCTGACCACTTGACAGCGATGGGAGATGGTCTGCACATCATTTTCATCCTCATGGCTCGACTGATACAAGGCATTCTGACAGACAGAGGGAAAGACACAGTGCTCAGTATGATCAGAAATCTTTGCTTCTGCTTTATTTATTTGAATAATAATTGTATACTTTTTTTCTAAATTACATTTGACATTCAAAAGTATTATATATATTGGTTCAATGTGGAGCAACAATCATATACAGACCTCTATAAAAATAACTAAAGTAGTTCAAATTGGATTTTGGGGACATCGGTAATGCATGTCACGTGTCTTATATGGTTTTAAAGCTCAGAACCTCCTCCGTCAGGACACTTCAGAATACTGATGTGAATGGGATACTAAGACACACCCAGTAATTACAAATAAAATATTCAAATTTCAGGACACACTTTTGGTGTTCTAGGTTAGAACCAAACGTCCAGACTACGAAGACTATCATTCAACAGTAAAATTATCCATCAGGCGTCACACTCCTGTCTCTTTGTCCCAAATAGAGGACATTACCTTGCCATCGCGGTGTCTCTTGCCCAGGCGAGTCTCCTCTGGGTGATAGAACCACTTGACCCTGACCACCATGCTGGAGCTCCAGGACTCCCAGAGGCTCTCCACACGGCCGACATAGGGCAGCTGCGGCCGGCCAGCGGAGAGGAACACTGCACAGTCTCCAACTCGCACCATCTCTTTGCCGCGCACAATGGCTTTATAGAAAAGTTTACGGGCTTTACCCTTCAGTCCTCGTCTCTAAAAGACAAAAGAGAGTATGTGTAATAATCATCTTCATACAAAACCCTGCAGCTCTGTGTTTTCAGTGTAAGATTGAAAAAGAAAACATTGACTTGATTCCTGATGCAGGGATCTGTCCGTGCAGCTTGTTTTTAGCTGTGACGTTCTACAAGAAAATGGATTCTGACTGGGACTGATGGATAGAGGGTATAATCAACTAGATTACACAGTCAAAACTGAGAAACTGGAGCTGCAAACTGGGCGGAGCTTAGGGTTCCAGGAAGGACAATTCCCTTTGTAAAAATCCAAAACATTTTGAAACATTGTGTAAAAGTAATTTACGTGTTGGGAGCTGACGCAGAGAAATCCTAATGGTCCATGATGTACCATACCTGAGTGGGATTCCCAGACCACCTCCAGAGCTGGCGTCCTGACGGAGCCGGCGTGTTGTTAAGAGACTCTGGAGATGACATCATCTGGCGCTTGGCTGGGACGGAGTGCTTGGACAGGGTTTTAGCCTCTTTCCTCTTGTGGCCCTTGCAGCCGCTGCTCAGCACACTGCCTTTGATTATGTATTCTTTTCTGTCCTCTTTACTCGGGGCTCGTGGCTTGGCCCCTGAGGTCACGGTGTTGGTGGTGGGGACAAAGCTATGTACTGGAGGGGATTTGGAGGTGGCAGGGTCAGAGGTCAGGCTCTGGCATTGTTTCTGTTTGTCCTGCTGGAGCAGAGCGCGGCGGAGCATCACAGAGGACGACTCTTCATCAGAGGAGTAGGACGAGTCGTTGTCAGAGGAGCAGACTGAGGACGAAGAGATGGAGCCAGAGGAGGAAGAGGAGGAGGAGGAGGAGGAGAAACAGGACAGGCGAGAGTGAAAGCGCCCGCTGCGACACTCAGCGCCTCTCTGCGACTCTCCGGCTCTGCGCTCATCCTCATCCTCCTCATCTTCCTCGTCCAGCTCAGAGTAGGAGCTGGGGCAGTCACTGGGGTAATCCACACTGTAGTTCCCACTCAGGCCAGAAGGCAGCAGCTCCTCCTGCGGGGGCCCTTTGGGCAAGTCTCCATCAGCTCCTCTCTTCCCGCCCTTGGCCAGGCGGCTGGGGTGGATGTACCTCAGAGGAGCTGCGGCTCGGAGGCTGCTGCTCCCCAGCCGCAGGAGAGCTTTACTGTTCTTTGTCTTTGGAGAAGTCACACCTTCATGGTCCAGCTTTATAAGGTAATGCTTCCTGTCACGCTCACTCATCAACTTCCTGTTAGCAGATCCGATTGCCATGGTGATGGCAGGAGAGCATGAAGGCTCTCCGATCACACCAGGTCTAGCAGCTCCAAATGTTGAGTAACCGTTAGCGATGCTTCTGAAAGAATCCACTTCAAAGGGCAGCCCAAAGATCCCTTTCATGGGAGCAGAGTGCAGGAGAGAATGGGAGGCAGGGCGGTGAAACAAGGCCAGGTCTTGCTCTCTCATCCTCCTCTGAGTCTTACGGGACGTCCCATTGAAGAGGAAGAAGTCCACCGGAGTCCTCTTCCTGGATGCAGTCCAGCTCAAAGCAGAAATGGTCTTGATTCCATGCTCTGGTGCAGACAGAGGTGCACTGAGAGACTTCGGCACCGAGTGCTTTTTCTTGGGTCTGCCAACTAAACAAAGGAAGAGAGATAACAGTGTTCATTAGCAGAACACACTGACAAAGCTGTCTAACCTGTCTGCTCTTGAGTGGGTTTGTCACTCCAATCTCTCACTAAAATCTGACACTTCATCAGTCATGAGTAATGTCTTCATCAACAGATACACAATGTGCGGCACACAAACAAGTTGATTTGAGAGTTTGAAGTGGAGTCTAATACACGGATATTGTTTACGGAAACAATTAAAACAAACTGTAAACTTAAGCTCTGCGAGGCTCAGTCTGTTCATGTATTTACTGGAACTTCTGTGATTACAGTTGATCAGTTAAACTGTAGCTTCAATACAACTAGTCCTCCAAAAGGAAATGAAAAAGGGTTTCATATTTTCCCACCTGGTCTTTTCTCCTGAGGCCTAACCGGCTCCTCACTGGTTGCTTTGTCTCTTGTGTCTTTTCTTTCCTGAGAAACCTGCTGACCTCTGCGACCTGGGGGCATAAGTGCTGGAGGAGATTCAGCACCTGGAATAAAGTGAATGAGCGTTTAAAAGAAGGCCATTGAAGGTGGGGTTTGTATGTGTTTTCCTACAGCGTCACTCACAGCGTATTTGGTATCCTGGAGGCAGCAGTCTGATGTTGTTCAGAGATATCCTTCCTCTATCGCCATCATCAAACTCCACCATCACACTGCCCTCCTTCTCCTCCTCCCCTGGGCCTCCTGAAATGTCAGGAATGAGGCTGTGAATACTGTTTCAGCAAAGCACTTGGACCTTAAGTGTGCCTAAGCTCCTGTACCTCTCTGGACATAGCCCGGGTACAGGCAACGGGAACGCTCGCTCCAGTAGGCACACACCCGCGTCCCCCCACACAGGACCAGCTCCGTCTGCGGCCGCACGTCCAGCACCTGATGACGAGAGCTCCATGAGCTGAGAGCTAAAGCACATGTGCTAAGACACACATCGATGTGTTCAAAGCTCTGGACTTACTGCCTCCTGCAGGAGCTGCTCCAGTGAGTAAATTCTGGGCCTGTTTCCCCTTTCTCCTTCAATAACAACACTAAATCTGAGGAGGACAGGTAAACAACTTGTAATTCAATCAATCATTTGGACTTTCAATAATCCAGTGCAATCATGGCCACTAAAAATCGTAGGCTTGTGAATTATAACAATAACAACTTTTGTTAGTGGCAGCTGTGCTGGCTGTCAGAACTGTGACTTGGCTTTGCACTTGCTGAGATGTCTTGTTTGTCAGGATTGTCATAACTGCCAGGAATTAAACTAGCGCTTACCACAGGCTTCTTTTTAGTGAAGCACTGGTTTCTCAATGCTGGTCCCTGCTTCATGAAGCTAAGTTCAAACTTGAAATGATAATGTATCTACAGCAGGTTTAGAGGATTCTGTATCATGCTGTTCTTACATGTCTGCTCCAGTGATTGTCTTTATATTACACACAGATAAATGTTCCTTCCTGATTTAGAATATGAAGCAAAGTGAGTCTTACATGTCCGGCAGATCCAGAGTATGGACTGAGGCAGCGTACAGAAGCTCATCCTCCTTTGATATAAGAATCTTCAGACTATCCACCAACATTTCTTTACTCAAAACACAATTTGGAAGAGCTGTGGTAAGAAGGGAAAAAGCGGGTGAGTGACGACAGAGGAGTCTATAGTATTTACCGGCGAAACAGGACGGTGTTATTTTCAGAAGTACGCAGAGACACATTCTTAAAAGACACATTAAACAGAGTTGAAGCCTACCAGGTATCCTGCAAGGCATGTTGGGAGGGAGGTAAAGTGGCTTCTTCTCTTCCTCTTCCTCATCTTCACCTTCAGAAAAGCTGCTCTCTTCATAGCAGAAGCCGTCATCACTGGCAAAGCTCTGGAGTAAGCGGCTGACGGTATGATCTTTGACCTGGACACAAACAGTCTAGATATTTATACCTGAACTGACAGAGAAATACTTTTTTATACATAAGTGATGTTTGGCAGCTCTATGCACAATACATGCATACTCCGAAACCGCATGGACACTATCTGAAGGCTTTGGGCCGACACAAGTCCTCCAGACCGGTTTAGGCCGGTCTCAGTGAGGATGATTGATGAAGCCAGCTCACCTAACAGGTTTGTGCTTGCATTGGACTTTCCAGCGAACGGCGTCAGATTTGATGCTGTGTGGAAGTTTCCACATTAGGAGACCATATTTTACATTGACAGATGTTGTCACTGAAGGTCAGAGATGACATTATTTCCTTTTTTGTCAATGCGGCTGTGATGCGTCACACAACATGGCTGTTGCAGAGTTATGGCCCATGATTGTGGTTATTGTGCTGCTGCTGTTTGAGACTTGGAACAGTGAAGGCCTCGGGGCATTCGTCATTCTAATAAATGACTCAATCATGTGGTTTTGATAAATTTATGTAAGGCTTTGACGAGTCATGGCATATAAGCATATAGTTTGAGGTTTTGCAGGTCTTTCCTTTCTGCTGCTGTCAGACTGTACAACGAGAACTGCCTCTCTGGTAACTTCCACATTTTTCTTGTATCTTAACTGCATTGGATGCGCAGCGTGGTTTGGCAAAGGCAAGGGCCATTCATTGCCGCTTGTGGCTATATTAAGCATTCTTCTTCTGTCTGAAAGTCCATTCAACTGGACAACATATGCATGTTTTTTGAATATTGTGACCACTTCTACACAAGATCCTGAGAAAATAATAGGACCATAGTAGCTGATATGTGTTTTTGTTTCATGTGAATTGTTCCAGGAATTAGAAATTAGCTCTAAACTAAGAAACTATATTGGAGAAACTAAACAAACTCTACAGAAACGGCTTTACCAACATCGTAGAGAAAACTAGTATCAGGATTAGGGTGTGGCTAACCACACCCATAGGTTATAAACGCGCGGTCTGAGAATTCATTCCCTGAAGAAGTCCTTTGGATTGAGGACGAAACGTCGGGAAAACTTGCTAAGAAGTACAGATAATGGTGAGAAACCTTCCTTTGCTTTGACTAATCCCTGCACGACTGAGGGCTTACACAAACTCTAAACTAAGACTACAAATTGTGACTGTTACCATCGTTACCAGCTGCTCTCCGCTACAATGTTCAACTATAGGCTCTTTGGGATGTTGTGATGTCACATGAATGAAACCTATTGACAGATGCAGATCATACTTATAATAATACCTACCTTTCCCATAATGCCGTGTGCTGCTGCTTCCTTAGTGTAGTTGACTTGATCTTGAAATCCAGAGCCCAGCATTGGCCCATCATTTTGGATGGGTTTCTGAAAGTCCACAAGTCTTTTGTCTGTCATGGAGAAGTTTGTCTTTTGTCGTTTCGAACTGGACACGGAGGCGGAACCTTCTCCTACAACAAAGAGCAACACAATAGTTCTGTGTGTTCCATCTTATTCGTGGTGATGCGGAGGCTGAGCTCACCGTGCAGATCCGCTCTCTTCATCTTGAGCTTATTGCTGGCTTGAAGTTTTGAGGGAAGTAATGGAAAAATGGACGTCCCGGAAACTTGATTTGAAGTCGAATCTTTGGAGGAAGAGCTGGTCTTTCTGTCGGACTCACCGTCTTCACTGATGCTGTGGTCGTCTGTAGAGGAGGACAATGATTACTGCTTCAAGAAGAAATACGATGCATTCATTTTGAGACTATTTCCTGTCATTTTATGTGTTAGAATGTTAAATCTTATTCCACCTGTCACTCCCTATGTTGCCACCGATAGTATTAATATTATACTTTTATTTTATTTTAAATAACCATCTGCAAAACAGCAAGCCCATAGCCTGGCCTTAGCCATCCGTAAACTCTGGTCCATTATAATTTCCTAAATGTACGTCTGGGTCTGATCCTAGTGTCTGCAGTTTCCTCGATTACTTACTTACTTGAATCCACTCCGACCAATCAGAGAGCGGGGGAGGCGGGTGTTGTAGGTCAGTGTCAGTGACGTCAAGAGTTTGCGCCGAATCTGCTAGTTGTAGCTTAGCAATGGCGGCGAATGCGATAGTAAACTAATTTGTTCTGGTTCGGCTCCAAATATCATGAAATTGAAGCCGGAGCAAAAGTTATTAATGAAAAGATGTTGTGGCTCTACTCCCCACGGGCTCTGTTTGTGGCAAAGGAGATGGCTAAAGCTAGGCTAAATGCTAGCAACTCACTCGGGCGCATTACATATGTCACGTTAAATACAGATCCAATTGTTTCAATCTACAAAAGGAGTTTTCCCAACTGTTAACGGAGCTCAATGGAGCTAATCCAGATCTTAGAACGAAATGAAATGTGTACAATGGTATGGTTAGACCAGGCTAGCCATGCCATTGTGAATAACAAGAATGACATTTCATCTGAGAAATTAATAAAAACTAATTTAGGGACAATAATTTAGTTTTAAAACTGCTCAGAGTGTGATGTCATAGTTGCACAATGACATCATACAGTTACAGGAGCTTTTCAACAGAAGGGGCAGAGTTACGTGTTGGGATCGTGGATTAATCTAAAAACTGTAGGTCTGGTTTTGATGAGGAACATTGTTGTGACAAGGTTAAAAGAGAGATGATTTTTGCATAATATCCTCTTTCAAAGTGAGAGAACCCAAATGTGTGATATTACTGTATATTCTTCATGCAAATGAGAGACACAGACGGCGACGCACACATCCGCAGTTCTTGGCAGCTGCGTGTCAGGACTGCAGGGGTCACGCTGGTGTCGACACTTCTCGGACACACTTGTCACTTACACTACGATCTCGTCAACACATCCTCCGCCACACACAAACACGCACTACTTGTATGTCACCGATCCCCCACATTCCACTGTTTATTTTCCCAGTCTCAAAAGAGCAGATCTGGATGGCCGCTTCTCTCTGGTGCGGCCTGCTCTGCTCCCATGTCCAGAGGAGGGCATTCTCAGGGGTCTGCAGAGTAACGGGGCGAGTGTGGCAGTGAGAGCAGAGTGGAGGTGGGCTCAGGTTACTGTTGAGCACTGGCTGGCTGTGCTGGATGCCTGTGGCAAGTCGTTAATGGTTTTAACGGCGTGACAGATGAGCTGGAAAGTGAGGAGGCTCTGACTGATGACATCTCACTCTCCTGTTTAATATGCACACATACGCACACACACAGAGACACACACACACATGCGCGGTCCAGTACGCCTGAGCTGTGTGACCCGCACTCACCGCGGTCTGAGCTCGTGCTGTCGCTCTCCTCCTCCCTGCTCTCGGCCTTCTCAGCAGCGCGCTCATCCTTGTACTGCGTTTTCTTGGGGTCACCGACCATCAGCAGCTTGGGCTTTCGTCCCCTCTTCCTCTTCATGGTCTGAAAGGCTGTCCAGTTCTGCTGCAGATCTACAAGTGTGAGCAGACACATAGATCCTATAATTATAGTACAAAAAAGGCCAGTACGTTTGACAATTTAAGTGGGGGACCGTGACTCTGCTAATGAACTTTTTATAAAGTCTAACATGTTCAAATGTATGGACCTAAAAATACTAGAAATCTTATTCCACGTTGTAAAAAACAAAAATTTTCCTGCAAGTGTTTAATCTTTCTTCAAAATAAGAAAAAGTTGCTACAATTTGAGAGGTCTGCTTCACTGGAAACAAGAAAATCCAGAACCAACATTAAAAACAGATGTGTGTCATTGGAGTAAAAATGTGGAATGATCTATTATCAACATTTAAAACTATCTTAAAATGTGAAATAATTAATTCATATACTTTGCCTTAAAGTGATTGTCTGGAGTTTGTCAGAAAAAGAGAGAGAGGTACTTGATTTGAAAAAAAACGACGCAAGCTCCTCCCCCTTCCTTTCTGATTGGTCTATGCCTACGTTTCCGTAACACATTTAAATGTTTATCAGGGAACACATTATACCTGTACATTATTAATACACATGCACCGAGGTTTTCAGAATTATTTGTTTTTATGAAAAAAATACTGTTTTTATGCACACAAAAAACGATCGCGGCAAACCAGGAAGAGCTATTATCATGAATTGCACATTATAAGACACATCTGCAGAGGATCTGATTATGGATATAGGTTCAGTATATAAATGATTATGGATATAGGTTTAGTCTATAAATGATTATGGATATAGGTTCAGTATATAAATGATTATGGATATAGGTTCATATATAAATGATTATGGATATAGGTTCAGTATATAAATGATTATGGATATAGGTTCAGTATATAAATGATTATAGATATAGGTTCAGTATATAAATGATTATGGATATAGGTTTAGTCTATAAATGATTATGGATATAGGTTCAGTATAAAAATGAGTAACTCAGCGCGGATGTTCAGAATTCTTTGTTCAGTTTTCATTAAGTTCCAGAGCCTAGACTTGATTCTGAGGCTCCGTGAAAACAAACCACTGAGCATGAGCAGCAACGAGCATCAGCGCCGATGATTGACAGCCCTGGGCATGACTCGATTGGTTAACCTCGACGGCACCGTGGATTCTGAGCTATCGCTAAGAGAAGGGAAGGCGGGACTTGCCCGTAAAATTAGAATTAATAAAATGACTTATTATTTTATATCAACATTTAAGGCCAGGAGGTCAATTTAATTTTATTTCCTAAAATTTGTAATTCATTTAGACTATCACTTTAAAAAGAATAATAATAATAAAAAATAATAATAATTATACTATTAAAAATGAACAAAAACTATGTTCTTGCAAAATATGTATTTTGAGTTGGATATCAGTAATCTGTATTTTATTTCATATTATTTGATTTTACGTAGTTGTTGTGTTTAAGAAGCTAAGGACCGGTATGTGACGTTACATCAGCCCAATTCTTTTTTGGTTGTAAAAGAGTCAGTGAATGTAATATCTGTTTTGAATCGAACAATTGACCAAAATAAATACATTCATTCATAAACAAGTGTGAGCAGACAGTGTGCTTTAGCCGAGTGATTTTCCGCCTCACCTCTGCGGCGCCGGGGCATGGCTCTGTCGTTGCAGCGTCCCGTGGAGGTGGCTGCTCCGCTCTGGGCCTTGTGTTTTAGTTGCGTTACTCTTCTGGCCAGTTTGGAGTTCAGGGCGTTAGGTCGACCTCTGTGCTTACAGCGAGCCTTCATCTATTCAAAGAGAGTGGTACAGATAATTATTGTCTCATTTTGTGTCACTAATGAAACAATCAAGCCACGCAACAGCAGGAGGTGGATTCCAGAGTGCGTTGATGAGGAACGCTCACAGATTACTGACCTGTGCAGTAGTGAGGCTGCTGAAGCTGTGATTGGATATTTTCTTCTTGCACTTTTGCTCCAGTAAACTCAGCCCGGGCCTGACACACAAAACACACAGAGATCAGGATTTCAGACAGATTTCTTTGGCGCAGTCTCATGCTGCTGAGCTCATCCATTGTCTTTAACGTTGCTACTCTCGGTGTCTCATAACCGTAAAGGGGGAAGAGTACAAAACCTAGCCAGCGCAGTTAGACGGCAGACAGAGAAATATTCAGCAACTGTGTGAATATGAAACTGAGCTGAATTACCACATGAAAGTCTGGAGAGGAGAGGAGAAGGCAAAGGAGGAAGAGTTGGGGAAGGAGGGGCTGAGACAGAGATGAAGCAGTCTCAGGGGAGTCTGTCCGTTGACCGGAGCTTCAGGGCTCAATCGATAAACACTAACCTCTATTGAACACTACTCCTCCTCTCCTCTCTCGCTCTCTCGCTCACTCTTTCTCTGCCCTGGCTTCATTGTATGCAGGCTCACTCACTCTCACTGTACGCGCCGCACACACAGTAGCAGCTGCTGTCGGAGCCAGGTGAATCCTATACTCCCACTGAGAGCCGGTTTGGCTCTCAGCAGCTTCACTTTCCGGAGGACATATACACAAAGCAAAGAGGAAGCGCTGTTTTGTTCATGTGTCTTTGCCGCTCCTATTTAAATAAAGCCAAACAATATACTAGGGTCCGATTGGTTTATAAGTCTATGTAGAAGATTTTCAAAAACATATTTCAATCATTGGGAGTTACCGTCCCCATTCACTATACGTGTCCAACCCATAGACTGTATATATTAACGGATGTAGTCACGCCTATCTCCGCCGTTCTAACTAATTGGCCAAAAAATGTGCTCTACTGGAGCTATTCAAAATGGCCGTGAGTGGTCCCGCCCACAAGAAAATTGTGAAAAAACGCATCTGCGCATGCGTCAGCCGGCGCAGCTCCATTCATTTGAATGAGAAAAATTCACAGCAAGTAAACTAGAGTGGTCAAAAAAAATTCACCCCCCTCAGCAATGACACACATGTGGAACGGAGCTCCACCCCCATCGGCCCGGGGTGGTATTGCAAGCATGTCAGCTCATGTCATTTTGGCCACTTTTGAGCCGAAACCCGCCCCCACTGGTCCAACCTTAGCACTGCCAATATAGAATATTAGACCTCATTTTAAAGCCCATCTAAATAATTCAATTGTATTAGAATCCCCACCTTTATTATTGAGGACATAAAAAAGCTCTAAACTTTAAATCTGTTTTCTGATGGTGTTAAATTGTGTGTTGTCATCTGGTGCGAGCTCAGCGCTCACAGGTTCACAGCTGTAGTGTCTTGGACATTTCTATAATTAGAGACTTGTATCATGTATGTGTATCTGTAGCGCCCCCTACTCAAACGAAGAATTGTTTTTATGGATATCAATAACATGCGAGTGCAGATTTCAAAACATAAACAGCTTTGTGTTTGTGGCTGACCTTTCATCAATATACAGGGAGTTTTGTTGATATTTATGACACGCATCATTTCATTTAAAAGAACAGAACAATCATTGGTATTTGTTCCAACAGATCCACATTGGTCGGCCCATAAGACGGTCAGGCCTCAGAGCAGCAGGTAAACCTCAGCAGGTAAACCTCAGCAGGTAAACCTCAGCAGGTAAACCTCTGCAGGTAAACCTCTGCAGGTAAACCTCTGCAGGTAAAACTCACTGCAGTTGCACAAAGCGTGTAGAGTCTTTGTCGTGTTCATTAGCACCTTCTAATCAGGATAACCGTGACAAACCCTAAGTTGTTGTAATCGTTTTATCAAGGCAAAGGGTGTGCGAGTTAACAGAGGTGGAGCAGCATAAAAAAACACATTTATCTTTATGAGCCTGGAACTCGGCGTGGATGGCAGCGTGGAGCGTGAAAGGTGTGAAGTCATGTGTTATTCTATGTGTGGATGAGTGGGAGTGGTGTGGTCGTTTATCACCGTGATCACTGTACATCCAGACTTTGTGTGTCTGCATTAATGTATGCTGCAGCTTCACCCGGAATGAGAATATAATCAATGCAAGTGATAAATATGATTAAAAATGATTAATGGTGATTAATAAAGGCTTCTCCTCCATTACCCCTCTCTGCCCCATCTCAGAACCCTCTGCATGAATATGTGTTCACGCTTTGAGCAGCTCTTTTCAGAACCCAATCAAGCAAATCACCGAGCCTCGGAGAATCTGAATAAATTCTGCTGAAGATGAACTGCTTGAAAATCAACTGAGCCTTTGACTAAAAACACAAACAGAAATCAGGATGAATGAGCGGGGCTTGCCAATCACACTGATTGCACTGCTGCCACATCGTGGGACTGACCGGAGTCTTTTGGAGCTCTCTGCTGCAGCGGCCGCAGCAGCTGGGCCGGGGGTGGAGCTGCGTTTGCGAGGGCGGCCAGGCCCCCGGCGTGCGGGGCTCCGAGACGTCTCCTCTTTCCTGCAGCGAACGAGGAGGAGAGAGAGGAAGGATTAGAGCTACTCTCCCAAATGAAGAGTCTCTTTAAACTGCATTAAACATGAGAAGGACCGCTCCAAACACACACCACCCAGCAGCGCGTGTGCGTGTGTACGTTTGTGTGTGCGCGTGTGTATATTTGTGTGCATGTGTGTGTATAAATGTGTGCAGCGGTATGTGTGTGTGTGTATATGTGTGTATAAATGTGTGCATGTGTGAGCCTGTGTGTGTGTGTGTGTGTATATGTCCGTGCATAAATGTGTATGTGTGTATAAATGTGTGCATGTGTGTGTGTATAAATACAGTGGGGCAAAAAAGTTTAGTCAGTTTAAAAATTTTGTCAGCCACCGATTGTCCAAGTTCTCCCACTTAAAATAATGACAGAGGTCTGTAATTTTCATCATAGGTTCACTTCAACTGTGAGAGACAGAATGTGAAAAAAAATCTAGGAATTCACATTGTAGGATTTTTAAAGAATTTATTTGTAAATGATGGTGGAAAATAAGTATTTGGTGACTTCAAACAAAGAAGATCTGTGGCTCTCACAGACCTGTAACTTCTTTAAGAATCTCTTCTGTCCTCCACTCGTTACCTGTATTAATGGCACCTGTTTGAACTGGTTATCTGTATAAAAGACACCTGTCCACAGCCTCAAACAGTCAGACTCCAAACTCCACTATGGCCAAGACCAAAGAGCTGTCAAAGGACACCAGGAAAAGAACTGTAGACCTGCACCAGACTGGGAAGAGTGAATCTACAATAGACAAGCAGCTTGGTGTGAACAAATCAACTGTGGGAGCAATTATCAGAAAATGGAAGACATAAAATACCACTGATAATCTCCCTAGATCTGGGGCTCCACGCAAGATCTCATCCTGTGGGGTCAAAATGATCATGAGAACGGTGATCAAAAATCCCAGAGCCACACAGGGGGACCTGGTGAATGACCTGCAGAGAGCTGGGACCAAAGTAACAAAGGTTACCATCAGTAACACACTACGACGACAGGGAATCAAACCCTGCAGTGCCAGACGTGTCCCCCTGCTGAAGCCAGTGCATGTCCAGGCCCGTCTGAAGTTTGCCAGAGAGCACATGGATGATACAGCAGAGGATTGGGAGAATGTCATGTGGTCAGATGAAACCAAAGTTGAACTGTTTGGTATAAACTCAACTCATCGTGTTTGGAGGTAGAAGAATACTGAGTTGCATCCCAAGAACACCATACCTACTGTGAAGCATGGGGGTGGAAACGTCATGCTTTGGGGCATGACGTTTCCACGACTGATCCGTGTTAAGGAAAGAATGAATAGGGCCATGTATCGTGAGATTTTGAGCCAAAACCTCCTTCCATCAGTGAGAGCTTGATGAAACGTGGCTGGGTCTTCCAGCATGACAATGATCCCAAACACACCGCCCGGGCAACAAAGGAGTGGCTCCGTAAGAAGCATTTGAGAGTCCTGGAGTGGCCTAGCCAGTCTCCAGACCTCCACCCCATTAAAAATCTGTGGAGGGAGTTGAAACAGCCCCAAAACATCACTGCTCTCGAGAAGAATGGGCCAAAATACCAGCTACTGTGTGTGCAAACCTGGTAAAGACCTATAGTAATCGTTTGACCTCTGTTATTGCCAACAAAGGTTATATTACAAAGTATTGAGTTGAATTTTTGTTATTGACCAAATACTTATTTTCCACCATAATTTACAAATAAATTCTTTAAAAATCCTACAATGTGAATTCCTGGATGTTTTTTCACATTCTGTCTCTCACAGTTCAAGTGTACCTATGATACACTTGAACTGTGAATTGCCTTGTGTATGAATTGTGCTATATAAATAAACTTGCCTTGCCTTGCCATGATGACAATTTCAGACCTCTGTCATTATTTTAAGTGGGAGAACTTGCACAATCGGTGGCTGACTAAATACTTTTTTGCCCCACTGTATGTGCATGTGTGTGTATAAATGTGTGCATGTGTGTGTGTGTGTGTGTGTGTATATAAATGTGTGCGTGTGCCTGTGTGTGTGTGTATAAATGTGTGTGTGTGTGTGTATATATATATATGTGTGTGTGCGATGCTTACTGGTGGTCGTGCTTCCTCTGTAGCTTGGTCAGTTCTCTTTGTTTCTCTTTGTAGCGCCGCTGTAGCTCAGCCAGCTGGACGCGCATGGCCAGCTCCTCCCCTCCCACCAGCTCTATGGAGCCCTTCACGGGGCACACCTGACACACGCACACACACACATCATTTTAATGCTAAACACACACTGACTGGGAAAGTGGAGTGGCCAGCCTGCGTTTGAGCAAATAGCCATTATTCTGCAGACCTTTTCCCTTTCTGCATTATCTCACCCATGTTTACTCACATGCAGCAAAGAGGATTTTCTATGAGTTGAAATGAATAATTGTGACTTTCCCCAGTGTTGCATTAGACTCAATGTTTTACTCAAGGCCCCTCCAAAATTCCTCAAATCAACTGCTGAATAAAATATACATGCACAAAATCTGGTGCAAATCCTCTCTTCTTTTTAGTTTAGTCCCTGTTCTATAAACTACTACTACTACAACGACACATGTAGGTGCTGAACGCGGCTCACCGGCTCATGGCGAGGTCTCCAGCTGCACTTCCTGCGCAGGTTGAGCCTCTCCCTTATTGGACACTCACACCGAGGTTCTGCCGCCGTCTCTAAGGCGCGAGCAGCCGCCAGTGTCGCTAGACTGCGCAGGTCAAAGGCCAGCACCTCCTCGCCTGCGCACAGACAAGTGTTTGGTGTGGATCAGTTTATCCTCGAGCAGCTGAGTCAGACGTATGCAAGAGATTTATCTGTGGAACAATGTAAACATCTCCTGAAAAGTGGTGATATTTATGGCATTAGCTGCGTAGTTTAGGTGATGTATACGTCTGTTACTGCTGAGTGTACGCACAACACATGAAGCAACACAATACAACACACGAAGCACCACAACAATCTCTACATCTGTCAGTGTCATTAAGGCATCGTCACAGCAGAATATTCATGAGACACACCTACACGGAAGACACCAGTGCTTCTGCTGAGGTATGGACTTCAGCGTACAGGAGAGAGAGAGGGAGGGAGGGGGGAGAGAGAGAGGAGAGAGAGAGAAGAGGGAGACAGATGGAGGGAGGAGAGAGAGAAGAGGGAGGGAGGGGGGAGAGAGAGAGTAGAGAGAGAGGAGAGGGAGGAGAGAAAGGAGAGAGAGAGAAGAGGGAGACAGAGGGAGGGAGGAGAGAGAGAATAGGGAGGAGAGAAAGAGGAGAAGCAATAAGAGGCAAAGTGTTTATTGAGCCATCTATTTATTCTCCTACATCTCCTCATTATGGACATGGACAGAATCTAATTTTGCCTTTGAGGAAAGTGAGAAGAGCCTGAGAGTCGTCTGGAGGAGAGGCCCCTCCCACATCTGACTTTATTAAAGGAGGCGCAGGACGGAGAGGAGTGTGAGTGACAAGTGTGAATGGCAACAGGAGGGCAGGTGAGGGCGAGGGGGGGGGGGTCCTGCCCCGTTCCACACACAGAGGTCACTGTCCCACTCACAGAGGTCACTGTCCCACACACAGAGGTCACTGTCCCACTGTCCCACTCACAGAGGTCACTGTCCCACTCACAGAGGTCACTGTCCCACACACAGAGGTCACTGTCCCACACACAGAGGTCACTGTCCCACTCACAGAGGTCACTGTCCCACTCACAGAGGTCACTGTCCCACACACAGAGGTCACTGTCCCACTCACAGAGGTCACTGTCCCACACACAGAGGTCACTGTCCCACACACAGAGGTCACTGTCCCACACACAGAGGTCACTGTCCCACACACAGAGGTCACTGTCCCACTCACAGAGGTCACTGTCCCACTCACAGAGGTCACTGTCCCACACACAGAGGTCACTGTCCCACTCACAGAAGTCACTGTCCCACACACAGAGGTCACTGTCCCACACACAGAGGTCACTGTCCCACACACAGAGGTCACTGTCCCACTCACAGAGGTCACTGTCCCACACACAGAGGTCACTGTCCCACACACAGAGGTCACTGTCCCACACACAGAGGTCACTGTCCCACTCACAGAGGTCACTGTCCCACACACAGAGGTCACTGTCCCACTCACAGAAGTCACTGTCCCACACACAGAGGTCACTGTCCCACACACAGAGGTCACTGTCCCACACACAGACCTATCAGAGGTTTTAAAAATGAAACACACCGGTGCTTGTGTTGGTGCCCAATCACAATCAGGCGTTACCTTCTACAATAACAACAATAAAAATATTGGATGAAATAATTGTCCGTATAATTGTTACACTGCAACATTTCCATCTGCAGCTGGAGCCACAGACTCTCTTTGAAAGAACAAAAAATGACATGGCGTATGAAGAGAAGAGCAAACCCTGTATTGTTACTGCATATGGAGTGGTCCAATATCACGCAGCCCCAAAACCTTGGAATCTCTCGATTCCTGAGGCTTCATTGAACAGAAAGAGATGGTTTCATCTTTCCAACACATTTTCAGTATCTGTATTATTCCTCTATGCCCCGGCCGGAGACACATTTTAAATAACCTGAATGTGTTAAGTTTAGAGAGGGTTCTCACATGATGACAGGACTTATTGATGTCACACCTATTACACATGCAAAGCATGTGCATGCACATGTAAACATCTGCTTCTCACATACATGCTCTGACAGCTGCAACAGGGACTTATGATCTTATTAATTCCTTCAACAAGGCTGGCAGAGGCAGGATTTACACACAAGATTACATTGGTTTAATAAGAGAAAAAGTGTGGATGAGAAGAGGAACCTAACAAGAGGATGAAGCAGCAGAGAGAGCAGCAGGAGGAGGACACAGAGGCGCGATTCATCTGGGATTACTTAACAGCTTACACACACAGGCATAAATAAAAACACTTTCTCTCAGAGGGACAAGAGGAAAATCGGAGCGCTTTTAGAAAAAGTGTTTTTAGGGAAAGGGTCTAATTAGTTAAGCAAGAGTCTGGAGCCTGGGGACTGGTTGGCCCAGCGGTGCCCTGACTTTAGTCAAGTAGAGCTTGGCTTGATGGACATCTTTGTGTCCCCTCCTTAAAAACATGTAAGAAATTGAAAGATTCTAGCGCTAAAGGTGCACAGGGCTTTCCCACTTTCTCTCTTCTACTGTGTATGAGTCGGAGAACAGGGGTAAAAATGTTTCAAATATTCTAAATTGATGAAGAAAATAATATTTTAGACAAACCCTTACCTTCCGTCTCCTTGGTCTGTCTATTCCTCTTCTCAATCTCTAATTCTGCCAGCGTTCCCAGAATCTCCATCCCATGATGGGACTTGGAGCCAGGTGGCTGGAGAGAGGGTGTTGGTGGGTACAAGGCATCTCTGGTGGCACACAGACCTGCTGCTATCAGCAGCTCCAGGCTCCACATGTATGCTCCTTGTTGCTGGGCTGAAGAAGGGAGGCAGGGGGAGCAGGGGGGAGAGCAGAACTCCTCTATGGAGCTGCTCCTCAGACAGGCCTCCTCTTCCTCATCCACGACCAGTGCAGTGTGTACATCTGCTTCGTCCTCCTGTATGTCTCTGGGCTCTTCAGGCACAGAAGCATAACATTGTGGTTCAGGCTCTTCCTTCTCTTCTTCTTCCTGTCTTTGATCGTCTCTGTCCTCCGTCTGCTCTTTGGATAGAGGCAGCTCCTCCCAGGCACCCCTCTGGCCTGGGCAGCCCTGACACTCAGACGATTGTAGGACATTGCCTGTGGCAATGGGCAGGACTGGAGCAGGACAAGGGCTCTCTGAGACGGGAGAAGCTTTTTCCTGTGTTATCTGGTCCTTTGCACTGACATTGTCAAGACTCACAGCTTCAGTATTGAACTTCTCCTGGTCCTCCACCACAGTACAGCACGAGTGTGGGTGGGACTTGGACTCTGAGTTGGCAGCTTCTGCTTCTGTCATGATGTCTTCAGCAGGCTGGGCTTCGCGGGGCAAAGGTCCAGCTTTAAAACTCATTGTGATTGGAGGAAAGGTGTAGATAGGCGGTAAGTCTGGAAGAAAAACAGAAAGATATATGAACGTGTGAAATGCAAGAAAAAGGAAAAGGACTAATAGTTTCCTTGAATATAGTGTTGTCACTACAGGCCCAAATGTTTCTCAGGCCTCAAAGCTCAGTGTTTTAAATGCATCGCACTCCTGCTCTCAAAGATGGTGCATGTGACTACATTAGGCAGTCGTTTGAGTGGCAGCAGGAGTGCAGCTCAGTCTGGGGCTGTTTTGGGCCTGTTTCAGGACGTGTGTATAGATCCATGTGGGATATTGATGACACCCTGCAGTTTCCCTGTGATTGCAGTGCGAGCCCTGTCACCCCCTGCTCTTTTTATTGATGGTATTCTTCCACCCGCCCTCTGACAATGCAGGCAGATAAATGTGTATTCTTCCACCAGTGTTTCTCAAGGACCTGTGAAGGAGAAGACTACGCCTGCCAACGATGCTGACCTTTCTGGCATTACACAGCAACGCATAACCACGACATCCCTAACCCTACAGCCCTAGACCACTGCCCTATATATATACTGTATATAAATATGTAATGTATATTCCTTTTAATGGTTTATTCAAACAATTATTGAAAGATTGAGAGATTACCAGGTTCTAGTGATGGGAGGTCGTCCTGAGGAGGCTGGCCCTCTACGCGGTCACTGCTGCACTCTCGGCCCTTGAGGAGGAGGGAGGGACCAGGGGTGAGGGCAGGGAAGCAAGGAGCTGCGGCAGCTGGGCTGGGAGCAGGTGTGAGAGGGTTTGGAGCATGAGATCGTCTGGATGGAGAATGGTGGCTGTTGGGAAATATTGATGTTGTGGCCTTCAGTGGAGGTGGAGTGTGAGAGAAAGGTTTGGCAACAACTGCTGAGGAGGAAGACAGAGAAGGCACTCGGGACAGCGGCGACTCCTGTGGAGAGTCTTCTATAGTAATACATGAGTCCTCGTTCTTCCACAGCATCCTCTGCTGCTGCAGCGCGTACAGCTCCTGGTGACGTAGGAATGAAGAGCGGGAGTACATGGGGTGTTGTTGAAGATGAGGAGGAGGGCCTCTGCTGCCGTACACAGACCACAGCCCTGACTGCTCCAGCACATCTACAGGGAGAGAAACGTTATGAGAATCATATGTTATACTATGTTATATTTTTGTTACAAAATAATGTAACGCAGTTAAGATCACTCAACACACACACTGGCAAACATATATTCCCACTGTTTCCGCCTTCGCTGCCTTGTCGCAGGGAACCTTTGTTCTGTAAGATTAGCTTGAGTGGGCTAATGTTTCCCAGGGGAAGGGTTCAGTGGATGCACTTCCCCTCACTGTAGGAACTCCCATGGAGGGAGCCGAAAAGAATTAAATTTCACAGTCTGTGCAAAGCATTGTTGGCATACACATCAGCTCTATCAGCAGAAGCTGGGACGTATTCTCCACTAACTTTATTGAAGTGATTTAGCCCAAACAGATCCTACAGAACCTTCAGGAGGTTCACAGCAGTTGTGTGGTGGACTGTACCCAGTGGGTGATGAGATCCTGCTTCTGTGGGCAAAACCATCAAGGAAGCACTGGGGTCCATGATGGGTGGCAGGGGGCTCGGGAGACCTGGAGGGAAACTACTGCCCATCCCCACATGGTTTAATCCTAGAACACATGATAAAGATCAATGACACATGTTAAATCCTTATTATGGTATCGAACATACCGTAAGAGTGGCTCATCCAAAGGGACGGGCTCCCGGTCCTCCAGTGGTGATGGGCATGTGCAGAGGGGTCAGCGCCCAAAAGGTGAGAGGTCAGGTCGCCATGGCAGCCACTGGAAGGGTGGAAACGGGCAAACTCTGCTCGCTCCTTGTTTTCTCTGTTGTGGCAGAAGGTGGGGAAACTTTATCATTATCATTATGGGTCTTATTGTCACCATCTTCATCATCACCATCACCACCATTAAAATCATTTTCTTCATCCTTGTAATCTACATTACCACTGCTACCATTAGAATCATCAATAAAAGGAAATGCAGTCATCTCCTTGTGCCTGCTGCATGAGTTCTCATTATATGTTTTCTTCCCTTAATATGACTACATAATAAGAGGCTGATACTTCAGAGGCATCAGTATTAGTCCCTGTAATGTTAACACCACATCTGATCTCTTAAAGAGAGAGAGAAATGAAGAGGGGAACAGAATCACCACATCAAAGGGAAAGAAGAGTAAATGGAGTGAGGAGAGAAGCCCGGTGTGGCAGAGAATAAAGGAGTGTGCAGTTTATCAGATGAGAGACGGAACTCTGGTCGTGTCCATCATCAAACATCTATTATATTTATTTGCACCTGATGAGCAGCTCTCTGTCTCTCTCCAGGTGAAGGCCCATCTGCTCCTCCAGCCTCTGTCTCTCATCCATGTCCCGGCCCAGTGGATAGACAGGACGGGATAACCCTAAATTAGACACACAAATACTTTAACAAATGCAAAACTGTGGCACAGGTGAACTATGCAAACAGGAGCCAGTGAAGGAACATGGGCTGAAGACTAATTCAGTTTCAAATAAAGTGAATAAAAAGATGTCTGACCTTTCATGCTGGGCAGCACCCGGCCGTGTCTGCTGTGTGCAGTGCTGTCTGAGGAGCGATGGGGGTGTCTGGTCACAGCGACAGCGATACCGACCGGAGGCTGACGGACCTCCCCCTCGGCGTCCCCGGCTTCTTTCCCTCGCTCACTCCGCTCTCCCTCATTAACAGAGGCGCGGCGAGGCGGCAGCATCTGCTTCTGAGAGTCTTGTGCAGAGCTGCTGCCCTTAGCTTCCCGGTCTACACCCTGCTTGATACAACCCAGGCCCCCAAAAGGACTTCTATGAGGCAGCACCAAAGGCTGCTGGGAACTGTAGTTCATAAACGTTTTCATTGTGCCCCCCTCGCTCTCACTCGTGTGGGATGTGGGTGTTACTGGGGGGTCAGTGCTGGGGGTTCTGTTCTGTTCTCTTCCATCAGTGCTGTTGGTAGAACTGTGATGAGTGCCTTTCCGCAGTTCCTGCTGGTGGCCTCCTCCAGACCCAGAGGAAAGTCCTGTTTGTCCCTCGTCTCTCCCCCTGTCCTCTGAGCTGCTGTGCTGCTGGTGCCGTATCCTAGCCACTTTCTGTCCTTGCCTGTGGACAGCTGGTCCAGAGTTCAACTTCACATCAGGCCGAGGACCAGATATAAAACCATCTTTTAAGGGAGACGTGTTTTCTGAACTGAACCCAGCTCCAGAGGGACTTTCCTGGGACTCTGTGGGCAGTGATGGTCTGTAAACATCGGCCTGCACTTCCAGCTCCTTACAAGATGAAGGCGGTCTCAGACTGCAGGACTGAAGGTTCGGCTGACAGCACTGACCGGAGCTCTGTCTGTGAAAGTTCTGCTGATTCCGATCATGGACTTTGTCGTATTTGCTGTGGTCCATGTGCTGTTGATATTTCTCCTTCCTGTATTGAAGGTGAGTAGAATTTTCATGCAATCTCTCTCTACTTTTGTCTTCCATCTTTCTCACGCCACCTCCATGACAGTCAGAAATATGTTTGTCTCCAAATGGAACATAGGACGAACCAGAGACCTTAACTTCTCTGCTGCACCCTTCTAAGATCGGTGCTGGATCTTTGGACGTGACCAAGGGGAGGGGTGCAGGTGGGCAATAATAATCTGGATGGGGATTATGTGGATGGTGCAGCCAACCTCCTGGTACAGTGGATTTATTTTGTAGTGTCTGAGGAGGAGGAGGCATGGAGTATAAGGAAACAGAATGGGGGGATGGAGGAGCCAGGATTGCAGCCACAGCTCCTCTCGTTCTACATTCAGAGGAGGACTCGCTGATCCTCATCTCACTACACACCAGTTCATCTTTGGAAAGGCGCCTGTTTCCTCCAGATGGAGATCCCGTCCCACTGCAGCTACTTAGGACACGGCCCTTCCCATCTCCCCCAGAACACGCAGATAGTTTAGCGTTCAAATGTTTCTGGCCCTGATTTCCCGCGTCACAGTCTTTGAAGTCTGTGTGGCGCTCCTCGTCCCGGCTG